TTTGAATAGGACACTTAGATGGCATCTGTTTTTTCTGTGAAGGGATGACAATTACTTGAGAAGAGATAACCGTTAACAATTGACTTATCCCATATTCCTCTTCTGCCTGTATGAGAACTATCTTATGCTGAACTGTGGCTGAAGAAATCTTAAAGGATGACGGACTCATGGTTGGTTTGACCTTTTTTGTGTACTAAGTTTGTGATTGATGTAAAATATAAGGAGCTGCAACGAAGTAACTTAGTGATGATTGAGTTGGAAGAGACCGGTTAAATGTGCTTAAATGAGTATAAGAAGGTGCATTTCAGTGGTTTATAGGTAATTGAACTTTCTAAGAAGTGAAATTACTTCTATTGGTTCCCTGGGGTCATCATCTTGCAGGTGGATCACTTATGTTGTGAGTGTTTCTATTCAGTGCATTTGTTTTATGAATTCTCAGTTTCTTTTATCGGTGATTCACCATATGTCCTGCCTATTCCTACTAGTTAATCTTCATCAGTATCAGAAAGTCACAGATTCAGAGACAGAATGTGGGGTATTTCCTTTGAAATATATGTGCTTGGTCAGGAATTTAGAATATTATAGGCTTTGAATTTTATGCGCTAAAACCATCAAATTGCTGGCTTAACGACAGGTTGGGTTCATAATTGTTTTTATTTTCATTCTCCCACTTCAGCCCTCTTAGTTATCTGATATAGGCTATCATTGGCATCTAATCAGTTGACATGGCCTCTTCAAAACGAAGCAAGCTCAGAAAAGATGGTTGGGATGACCGGTTACTGTCTCTGTCACTTCTCTTAGTTGCACTTTGCGCAATGGCTCGAAAGTCTATACTTGTTAGGTTGCAGTTTTAGTTCTATCTCAATTATTATATTCCTTTCTTGCATTTAGATGCTCAAAAAGAGAGAAAGAAAATCAATTAGTATAATAAAGTTAAAAAGGCCTTTTATTTTTCTCACCATGGCCTATAAGGCTATAACCCTTCTTGTTGGATCTGGATATGCTCTGAAATACGTTGGGAGCCGGAGCTACCTAATATCACGGGCTTATTCTGTCATGATTTGAAGATATGGACATGCTTGTCTTTTCTTGGAACTTAATTTTTTGATCATGAAGCGCTGCCATGGGTTCTGAATTCTTCACATGGCAGCTGCCGGACCATACAATGGATGGAAGAACATGTTCAATGCTTGCCTGTCGGGTAAGGTGTTTGTCAACCAATATGATTCCCAGGCCAAAAAACAAGAAACTAAATAGGATCCTTGTTGCATCTTTCACCTTTTTAATCTCCATGTTACTGCAACTAAAACAAAGAGAGGGTTGATGCCTATTGATTATACAATTTGTTTTGTGGTAGGAGTTAATGGTACAAATTTGAAGAAGCTTCATTGAAATTTGAATTGATTCTCTACCAATTTTGAACACATAATTTGCTCAGTGATATTTAATTTTGGAAAATCTTAGGGTTGAATTTTCAGTTGTTTTGTGTTTGAGGGAGAGAAGTGGGAATGGATTGTAGTCAAAACTACTTGAAAGATTCACCACACTGGCTATAGGCCTCTTTAGGAATAGGTCTATGGATTATGGCATTTCCCTCTTAACCTTAACTTTAGTTAATTCGTTTCTTATTTTAAGAATTTTCTTGCCTGTGTATGGTTTTCGATTAAATCTTTGGTGTAGCTAGTCATGCTATCTATATTCAAGAAATTTGTGCGAATTTCTGGTTCATATTCACATGGCCGTTCCTTGTTTTATGATTCGATAAAACAAGAGGTATCATAAAGCTTGTATAGCTTCAGTCTTTATCAAGAGGTATTTGGCATTTGCCTACCTAGTCCACTGAAAAAGCCTGATGGTTAGATAATGCACCGGAGGTTCCATCCACTGGACCACGTGGCTTCCAAGTTATTATATTCTACTACGATTATTGGAGATTATCTGCATGCTTTGTGCTACAAGATAATGTTTGTAATTGATTTTTTTAACTACTATGATCTTTTTAACTGGCGCATACTGGATAGGGAGACGTAAATGCATTGAGGCAAGTGAGAGGGCGCAGAATGTCTTGTTGAAGCTGATCCCAATGTGAAGCAAGTTGAGGGATCAGGTCCTCCATGCTTATAGCTGAAGCTTGGGGTATACTTCGAAATCTTTGGATCACGTACCACCTTTCTTCTTTACGGAAATCCCACGTGCAACCCCTTCCAAGCCCTTTACGTCTCACTTTCCTCTCCTTAAGCCTTGAGTCTTAAGAGTCTCAAGCCTGTGTCATCCAAAATTTCATGTGCCAAACTTTCCAAAGTCTCCGAGTATTAGTACTTTCCACTCCTTCCGAGTCTTGAATTCCAAGCCTACCCAACCCAATGTTACGTACAGTTTCTCTCTTTTCCTCTTGAAGATTCCAAGTTTCCAGTGGTGATTGAATATTATTCATGGATTTTGACAAAAGAAATTTCGTACTCCATATATTCTGTTCGGCATATCTTTATTTCGTAATATTTGCATGTCTTGCCGATGAGGGACCAAGCCGGCAATACAATATTTTAGATAACCCCTGTGAAAAGTTATGCTAGGAAAAGCTTGATCGAACCCCAACAAAGCAAAGCTCCGATCTTCCTACAGATTTACTTATATTATCCTTTGTGGAATACTGTTTTAGATTGTAGGATATGTGTCCCTGCAGGAACCCCACAATTGGGTTGGCATCAATATTCTTCTCGTAGTTTTGCTTGTAATTTTTCTATCGAACTTTTGCTTTATCGACCTTCTTTTTTAGGGGTACTAATTGTATGATGCTAACTATTTCTTTGCTGGTAGATTGAGGTTTTGAAAACTTGAGTACCCTATAAGATACAAGATCTGGCTTGTAGTTAGACAGATCCCTTTTGATTGTTTGCTTAAGATAGTCAAAATTCACGTGTGCTTTCTAGTTAGATAGCGCCACAAACAAGGCATATCTGTGATTGGTCTAACACCAATCATCCCACACAAGGATGTGAATCCAAGTTTATTCTGGCAAATTCCCCTGCCTTCATTGTATTAAACTAAAGAAAATGCAAGGCATGTGAAACTCGACAAATATGTCAGCTCATTGAGTAGCTTGTCTTAACTCTCTCTCAGGTATCCAATAATCAAGAATTACTTAAAAAGGTCTCTATTCAATGTTTGTTTTGATCTTAGATTATAAGTATGAAATTGACTAACTAGATAAAAATCTGTCGATTCTTGTTAATTTTAAACCAGAGGCCACTTGCCAAGAAAAATATGAGTCTAGTATGTACTATGGATGTCAGTGAAGTCCTATCTCAACAATGTGTTTGAGCATACAACTTAATTACTATGGAATAAATAAATCTTTCTACGGCATGTCTTGTCTATCAATCCTAACTCATAAGTGGTAGGGAGGGTTTCTGAATATACAGTGGCAAACGTGGATATTCAAGCTACCACTAATCGACTCTCAGAGGTCCAAATGGCATGGTCCTTTGTTTTAGAAACCAAAAATTCTTGCACCTGTAATCTTGATTTAGTTTTGTGGTGTATCGATTTTGCTCCTTTTTTCTAGATCTTGAAGATGCAGAGGCCCAACAGAGGATGGAAAGTGCTGTTAGAGATTCTTTTTTCCCCGTAGAAGGTGTAAACTTTTGACCACTTTTTTGAGCTTTTAGCGAGAACAGGAAACGTGATCCCCTCAGGATTTAGTAAGGACAGCCACTTTTAGAATGTTTTCAGCCCAATGTGTCTTTCCATGAGTTAAAGAAGAAGTTGAGAGATTGATTCAAAATTTTTTCTCTGCTGTCGGCAAAGTAAAGCATGTGGGTAAACCCGAGAGAATAAATGAGTTGAGAACCAAATAAATGGGACATTTCATGTCAGTCAAAACTTTTTAACTCGTAATCTAAATCTATCAATGCTTTTTTTTATGCTGTTTCACCAACTTATAAAGTTCCAAAACTCACCTTTAGCTATCCACCAAGATTTGGTGTCTTTGTTAAACTTTCCAAGCTGTTTTAATCAAACCCAACAGTGACAACCCGAGCCAGACGATGGCATCTTACTGATTGAGATCAATTACCATGGCAATAAGCCAACTTTTGCATTTTTATGTCGTTTTCTCATTAAGTCCCTCAGGATTTTAGATTGTTCTGAATTTCCAATCTCTGAAAGATTGTAACATCATTTTAGTTGTTTCCCACAAGTTTTGCATGTCAGTAGTCTGGTAAAACAAATCATAGTGGAACTTAATGACTGATTTTAGGCTTTTCATTGTCCTATCTTTGGACCGCAGTTCATTTCCATATTGAGTGTACTCGAATTCAAATAGAATTACCTGTCTTCAATCAAAAGAGACATGGAAATAAAGCCTCTCATAATTGATTGGTGGTCCACAAAATTTCACGCTGCCGTCTCAAGCTGGTGGGTGTGCTGAGGAACAATGTGAACTGTATACAAGCCGGCACCGACTAACATTAAGCAGAAAATATGTAGGGGTTAGTCCCAGACAGAAGAGTCTTCCTGAATCTTTAGGTTGAACGAATGTTTTAAATACATATTTGTTCTCACAAACTAAACAACAAGACAAATACCAACAGCTACCAACCCCTTGAATAAAGGAAAAAAGAAAAGAATGGTTAGAACAGAAGAGAAAAAAAATATAAATTGGTTCAACAAAAGCATACAGCTTGGCTTAAATTCATAATTCTATGGAATTTGGCCGAATACTCCCTTAATTAGCCATCTTCTGCTCACTCGGTATTTGACAAATGTTCAATGGCTGAACGGGTTGTTCTTTTGCAGTGAATACCCATTATTAACCACCAAATTTTAGGCTCCAAGACTAACGAATTCAACAGCTGCCCAGTTTGGATGGATTTATCAATCCATTTTCCTGATTAATCCAAACCATGCATTGGAAAAAAGAAACAGCTATGTTGAACCAACAACAAATAATATACAGGGCAGTGCCTATTTCTTTAAGGAATATGACCGCTCCATATATTGTATTTTTCCCCATGCCCTGGTCGAAAGTCTTAATTCTTTTTCATGTACCTAAAGTTTATAGGTTACTGTATAAATGGGTTTAGATTAATATTTAATATAAAAAAATTCAAAAAGATTAAAAAAATTAGAAAAAGAAATAGGGGCACTTGCTAGGAAATTGGTTGATCACACTTGTTTAGAACCTAAGCTACCCTCTGTATTATATCTGCATGGGGCCACCGCAATGGATTGTTTGGAATTCTTCCTTTTTATTTCGTCAAATCACAAATAATTTGCATTGTTTTTGATCATGTGGCCATTAGGGATGGAAGAAAATCATTTGCGAAAAATAATTTAGAAATCTTCACGGGCAAAATGCATCCCCCTATTTATATATCTTATTGGCTTTTTCTTCTTTTAAAAAAAATTGTGTAACCTCTCCTCCCTCTCTCAGTATCCTATAAAGATAAAAGTTGGTTTCTTGGAAGCCACTCTAGGGGCTTGGGAATTGTTATAAATACATCTTCCAGGAGTAAGCCTGTTACATTGAATCCTTCACATTCAAGCCATCTTTGATTATTTTCTCTTTATTATCTTTCTTGTGTTCTTTCAATTGTTTATTCTTACAAGTTTTCAGTTCTTTGATTTATTTTTGTTTTCCTTGTACATGCATAATGGTTATATTAACATTGCTTTGATTCCCTGTTTCTGTTGACAAGTTCTTTGGCTTTAGACTAATTCAATATATCTTCCACAACCATCATCTTCAAGAGGCAACAGTACCTCTGAAAAGGAGAAGAAAAAGAAATAGCACTGAGCAAAAATGACGAAGTATTCAGTGGAGGAGGAATTGGGCTGTGGTCTTATGGGAGGAATTTTCCAGCGTTGGAGCAACTGGTCGAGAAAATCATCCGTACCTGCATTGCCTGCTAAAGGCATTAACAAACCAGTCACTGATAAGTCTAAGAAGCCTTCAACCGATGATTCCAGGAGGAGAAAAACCAGCTCTGAGGACTCTGTCCTTCAGGATTTCTCCAACTTGGCTAAACCTTTACCCCAGCAGGACCAGAAACGAACCAGGAAGTCTGACTTGTTGCCACTCCGAAATTCAATTTCAACTTCTCACCAGAGAAAAGACAGTAGAAGAACCTCAGATGCTGCAAGAAGCTCAATATCCTCATCCTCTAGTTCAAGCCAAACAAGAGTGTCACAAACGCAGAACTTTACTAGTGAGCAGCGCAAATTACAGAAAGAATCCTGTGGCAGTTACTCCAAAGAGATTGCCAAGGTATTTACTACCGATGCACAACAATCAAACAATAGCAAAGCTCTTATTCGAGCTACTTCAAGCAATATAATGCTAGTAGGCCAGTTGGGGAACTTGAGACAGCTTGGAGCTGGAAGTGCTCAAGGGAATAATAGTCCTAATGCAACAACTAAAGCTGTAGATGACTTTTATCAGACTCTTCAAGAGGCTCGCTCCACGACAAAACCACCCGGGAAAAACGGTCCTAGTAAACTTGGTGGTTCTGTTATGGGCAATATTGTAAGGCAGCCTAGTGACGACTTTAACCTTTTTCATGGTCCTATAAGTAGAATGGATCCCGAGGCATTGAAGATTATGGGAAATGAAGCATACAAGCAGGGAAGGTTTGAAGAGGCATTGACTTTATACGAACGAGCGATTTCTCTTGATTCGAAACAGGCAACATATAGGTGTAATAAGAGCGCTGCCTTGTTAGGATTAGACCGTCTTCTGGAGGCTGTCTTTGAGTGCAAAGAAGCTATTCAGCTTGATCCTACATATTGCAGAGCTCATCGTCGTTTGGCAACAATTTATCTCAGGTAATATTCTAAAGACTCATATAAAGTTTTGCTTTATTTGATCATCAGGAGGCTATAGAAAGAACATCTGAAATGTGGAAGCAGATTACTGCTTGTAATTGTCTTATATGATTATCCGAATTCTACCATGCAGATTGGGAGAAGCAGAGCAAGCATTATTTCACTACAAGCATGCTGGCAATCACGCTGACTCCACTGAGATCGCTGAAGCTCAGGCTCTAAACCAACGCCTTAAAAGATGCACTGATGCTCAAAAATTAAACGAATGGAATACTCTACTTAAGGAGACTCAATGTGCTATAACCTCTGGAGTTGACTCTTCACCTCAGGTTAGCGTTCTTTACAGTTTATATACATGGATTTTAATGTATGCTGCATGTGGTTAGATAAAATGTGTGCTTATGGTCATTTTTTTGGGACATAAAATAGGTCAATGCTCTACAAGCAGAGGCTTTACTGAAGCTCCACAGGCATCAAGAGGCCTATACAGCCTACATGAAAGGACCAAATTTTGCAATTGAATCTTGTATCAACCTCTTTGGCCTGGCTGTTAGTGCTTATCTTTTAATCATCAGAGCATTGGTCTACATGGTTTCTGGCAGGTTAGTAGAAAGAAAACTCTTTTATTCTAGTGTAGATGCGTATATGTCTGACATCACTTTTCTTAGCAAATTATATCTAAAGCATGTTGTTTCAATCTTGGCAATATGGAAGTTACCAGCATTGAAAAGGCAGGGGTAATCTAGTTCTTCATTTATTCAAAATTTAAACTGTCTTACTTTCTGTCACAAACTTTATAATTATGCCGACTGATCTCGAAGTATCTTTATAAATGAGAATATAACGGTTGCTTAATTTTGATGATAAGGAAAATGAGTTAAAAAGTCTCGTTACTGTCTATTTTATAGAAACACATGCATCCACATTATTTTAATAGAAATTAACAGTGGACTTGATTGGATGATAATAGGATAGAAGATGCTGTATTAGCAGCTCAGCATGCAGCTAGACTTGATCCAGGCAACAAGGAAATAAGCCTAGTGGTGAAGAGGACTAGAGCAGTATCGTCAGCTCGATTGAGTGGTAACTTGCTTTTCAAGGCATCAAAGTTCTTAGAGGCTTGCATTGTATACGGTGAAGGACTAGAGCATGATCCATACAATTCAGTTCTGCTATGCAACAGAGCAGCTTGTAGATCTAAGCTAGGCCAATTTGAAAAGGCTATTGAAGATTGCACAGCTGCTCTTAACGTGCAACCTTCTTACAGCAAGGCAAGGCTAAGGAGGGCTGATTGTAATGCCAAGGTAAACGATTCCCACTTCAAGGTTAAGGCTTTTGCTGGAGCCATAATTGTTCATGAATTTTCTTGACCTATTATTCATTACTGTTTCTTTCATTATCTACAATCAGCTAGAAAGGTGGGAAGCTGCAATTCAGGATTATGAGATGTTGATAAGAGAAACACCTGGAGATGAGGAGGTGGCCCGAGCTCTGTTTGAGGCTCAGGTCCAGATCAAGAAGCAGCGAGGTGAAGACATTAAGGACATGAAGTTTGGCTCAAATTTGGTTATGATCTCCAGCAACGAGCGTTTCAGGCACTTTGTAACCTCACCTGGTAAGCAGTCATTAGTCAGGCAACAAATTCTGTTATGACAAAAGTTTTTCCAGCAGTTTAATTTCAAAAGGAGCGTTTGTAGAAACTAGCAAACAGTTTCGCCATTTCCCTTTGAGATCATTGGTTTGATAATAAAAAGAATGAAAACCTTTTATTCAATGACAGGGATGACTGTGGTGCTTTTTTGTAACAAAGCAAAACACAAGCAAGTGCTGCTGCTAATGGAGCAAGTGTGCAAGAGATTCCCATCTGTCAACTTCCTCAAGGTCTCTTTCTTTCCCTTTTTTTTTTAATCCAGTAGCAGAGTCTTATCTTCTAGTAGATGACACAATTACGTTATCAACAACATCATTAAAATATTTAGAATACTAAAATATATCTTGGTTGACCTTTTCAGGTGGAGGTAGAAGACCATCCGTACTTGGCTAAGTCCGAGGCTGTAACCTCCATTCCAGCTTTCAAAATATACAAAAATGGATCAAGGGTCAAAGAAGTTCCAGGCAATAACCCTGAATTGTTAGAAAGATCAGTCAAATTGTACAGCAGTTGAAGAAAACTAGACAAGATCATAGGGAACGAGTAAAGAGAAGATGTGAATATGCATGGGAATAGGGAAACTTTGTTACCTTTTCACAAAGAAAGAAAGCAAGTTCAACAGACGAAAAAAATAAAAGTAAATAATGGGGATAATCATGTCTGCTCTATGACTTTGCTGGCATTGCACATTAAGGTGGAAAAGTCGAGAGGCATCAGCCCGGCACCTCAGATTTAA